ACGATTTTGTTATTATTATTATTATAATTTCTAAATAGAAAGCAAGATAGCAATATAAATAAAAAAAAATATATATTAAAAAGTGTCTGTTTATAAGTTATTGTGGCTTTGTGTTCTCGTAGTGAAGTACATCTCTTAATAACAAAAAAAAAAAAGGATTACGTAAGTTCTGGAAGTGAACTTTGACCTGACCTGTGACCTCGGTGACATACGTGTGCTCGTGACCTGTCGTGCAGGTGATCAACTGCCCTCGTTGCAAAAAAAAAAAAAGAAAAAAAAAACACGTGTGAAGTTGCACAGTTCTTAACACACTTTACCAGGATATATATTTTAAAAAAGAGAAGTTATTCATAAATTTATATATGTTTATATTTTTTCTTTTTTCTTATTTCTATAGAGGATATTATTAGATGTTTTCAATGTTTTGCGCTCTTGATGCAACAATCAAAAAAGTTGTTTGAGTGAAAAAGAAGAAAACGGAAATAAAACCAGAAAAAGGATATAGAAACCCCCTTTCTATCAATCTTTATTTCCATAGAATTCTTTTTTTGAAAATCCAGTGAAACGAGAATCAAAAATATATATTAGCACCCCCCATCCCCCATTTTCAAAAAAAGAAAAAACACCCTACCCAACCCCCACCCCATTCAAAGAAACAAATCAAAAGAAAACAAACCCAAAAAAGTCCACACAAAAAAACACCAAAACCCAAAAACCAAGAAAAGAGAAAACAAAATAAAACTCAGAAACCCGCCCCACTCCTTAAAAGAAACAAAAACAAAAAAAGAGGCCCCACCTTCTTAAAAAAAAAGGAAATTCACCAAGGAAGCCTACAACCCCCCTCCCCCCCAAAAGCCTAGCATCCTGGAAGCGCCGCAGACCGTAAACATTTTCCCCTTCGCATATAACTCCCTGTGTTTGTCGCCTCCGAGCGTCCTCCAGTACCCCGCTATGGAGTCCTTAAGTCCACGCCCAGGCAGCGGTGCGATCACGGAGGCCTCCACCGTCGACGCCTCCACCAGGAGAGAATGGAATATATAGGCAGCTNGGTTGGGGAAGTAGGAAGGAGGTTCTTGGGGTTGTGGGGGAGGCGGGGATTGGGGTTTGGGGAGGGAGGTTTTGTTAGCGAGAGAGCTTTAGTTAGTCAAAGAGCTGTTTTTGGTGGGAGAGCTTTGGTTAGTGAGAGGTGAGAGGCCTTTTGTTAGTGACAGAGCTTTTTGTTTGTGGTTAGTGGGAGAGCTGTGGACGGTGGTTAGTAAGGGAGCTCTTGTTTGCCGTCGTTTGAAGGTCGTTTGGAAACTAAACAAGCAAAGTAGGTCCGAGGAATGTTTGGTTTGTTAGTGAGAGAGCTTTTGTTAGTCAGAGAGCTTTGGTTAGTGAGAGAGCTCTTGTTTGGCTTCGTTTTAAGAGGAAGGTAGGTTCCGAAAGACGCTCTGGTTTGTTAGAGAGAGAGATAGGGATTTGTTTGTGGTTAGCGGGACAGCGTTTGTTTGGAGGTTAATCAAGCAAGGTAGGTTCGAGGAATGAGATTTGGTTTGTTAGTCAGAGAGCTTTAGTTAGTGAGAGATTTTGTTAGTCCAAGAGCTTTTGTTAGTAAGAGATTTTGTTAGTCAGAGAAACTTTTGTTAGTAAGAGAATTTTTGTTAGTCAGAGAGATTTTATTAGTGAGAGAGATTTTGTTAGAGAAACTTTTGTTAGTCAGAGAGTTTTAGTTAGCGAGAAATCTTTCGCTTGTCAGAGAGCTTTTTGTTTGTGGTTGGTGAAAGAGAGGTTGTTTGTGGTTAGAGGAAGATCGTTTGTTTGACGGAGGAACCTTTGTTTGTGAGGATTTATGTCTAGGTACGTGGTAGAGCGTTTTTTTGTTTGTTTGTTTGTTCGTGTGTTTGCTTTCGTTTGTTGGGAGAGCATTTGTTTGTAAGTAATTCTGTCTAGGTTGTCGGGAAGGTATTTGTTTGCTTACTTTGGAAGAGCATAAGTGTAATTGTTTCTTGTTTGACGAGTTAGAGAAATATATATTTCCGTGAAGTTTGACAAAATAGCTTCCAAAAGAGCTTGTTTTGTTTTTTTGTAGTTATTTTTGTTTAGTTTGGTGGGAGAGCTTTGTTTTGTTTGTTTGTTTGTGTATATTTTGTTTGTTTGTGTGTGTGTTTTTTTGGTTTGTTTGAGATATGTTTTCTTTGTGTTTTTGTTTGTTTTTGTTGGGAAAGAATTTGTGTGTTTGTCGGAATGCGTGTGAAGAAAAGAAGGGAGATGGTAGGAAGGGAGAGGGGGAGAAGAGAGGGAAGAGGAGGGAGATGGGAGAAGGAAGAAAGGAAGAAAGGAGGAGAGAACAGGGAGGAGGAAGTTAGGAAAGGAAGGAGGGAAGAGGAAAGAGGAGGGAGGAAGAAGAAGAGAGGAGGGAGAAGAGAGGAGCGAGAAGGGAGAAGAATGAAAAGAGAAAGACAACACAGAATAGTTACTAACGCTTCCCCTTTCTCTCTCTCTCTCTCTCTCTCTCTCT